ACTAAGGACATGCATTCCTTGGAGACAGGCCCCCGTCAGTCATCGTGTTCCTCTCATGAGGTTGGTGGTGCTTTGTGCACACCGGAGGGGCCCTTCACAAATGTCTGAATGGACACGAAATGAGAGAGGACACACTCCTGGCTCCTGAGAAAGATGTGTGCTCTCCCCAGGGATAAAAAAAAGAACTGTAAATGGGCTTCTCCCCAAAGGGAGCCCAATGCTCTTTTATTGTGATATACACTTGGGGCACGGTGTGTGGGCTAAATGTATAAGGGAATGAGTGAGTGCACGGAAGCCAACTGTGCAGGCCTGGCACTGCCCCTGAAGAGCTTCTCTACAGGTCATGCTCCTCCCATGCCTCGCCCACTAGGAATCATTCCTAGGCTTTCAAAGAAAGCAGTTTCTTCTGCAGGCCACAGCCGGAGGAGTCTGTTTCTTCCCACACATAGCTAGAGGTTCAGAAGCAGCTCTCTCTTCTGCAGCTCACCGGGGGATGCAGAAAAAAGAGCTCAGAGTTCCGAGGCGAGGACTTGCGCAGGAGTCATCTACTGTTCCTACCTGTGGGACCTAGAAATTTCCTGTGTGGAAGTTGTCAGAATGAGGAGGCTCCTGGAGGTGAAAATGCCACGTGTGGAATAGGCACATGCCAAGTCCCTCTGAACTTTCTTTTAAATTATAAGCCTCATCAATGTCACCTGCTTCTCTGAGAAAAAGTGAACAAACCAAATCAGGAAAATTACAACACAAAAATGACAGGCAGCCATTGGCATTTACATTCTTATTTGTGGTTTCTGGTTTTTTTGTTTTGTTTTGCTTTTTAATTTTTTTCCTAGAAAAAAAAAATACAACCAGGGGAATTTATATTGACAAACTATTAGTGTCAGGATGGCAGGGGAAAAGAGAAAGAAAGACCAAAGGCATGGGAAGCTAATAAAAAATGGGTTCTGAATCACATAGAATGGTCCACAGGGTCATGTCCAAGTCCTCATGAGATGACCGGTCACTTTGGCATGCAT